GAGCATTTATTAAAAAATCTAACATTAATTTTATAAATATTTTTATCGGTTAAATGATGGTAATTAATTAGAATTTTTTATTTTTATGGTAAGACTAAAATACCCTTATTTGTTTACACCGTAAACTATTTTTCCGGCCTTTCCATCTCCAACTTCCATTCTCCTCTCTTCCGTTCCGCAATTTTTTCTCTATCCTGCTCCCAGTCTAACCCAATTGAAAACCATCTCCAGGTTTAAAGATGCTTTCTAATGAACCAAAATCATTTCCACTTTCAAAATTTTTATTGTTTTCTTCTTCATCAGCAGGTTTATTCAAATTGTAGTCAAAATCAGTTTTTCAAACAACAAATTTATCTTCAATAAATTTTTCAGTCATGATGCACACTTGAAAACTAGATGTTCAATAAAAAGGAAAAAAGAAACATTAAGACTAGAAGTAACAGGGCTGCTTTTCACTTGAAAATGCATCATTTCAAAAAGGTCCTATCATCTCCCCCAAATTTTTATTAATCTTATTCATAATCCGATTGCTTTTATTCGGTTTCTGTTGCTTATATGTGATTTACAAATTTTCATCCTGTGTAATTATTCCGGGAAATTGTTCAATTTTCACGAAATATTAATTCCCTTTTTCGTTTTGGGTACTGATGAACTGGATGATCAGTGAAAATAAAAGAAATTTTCTTTGGAAAGGGGCATTATTTAAAAAAAAAAATCTTTTCAATTGGGCTTTTAATTGGATTAGACTGTGGAGCAGGAAAGAGAAAAAATTTGGAAAATGAAGAGAGAAGAATGGAAGATGGAGATGGATAGGCCGGCAAAAAAGGGAGTTTACGGTGTAAACAACTAAGGGTGTTCTAGTCTTATCAAAATAATAAAAAATTCTTAGTTAATTACAATCACTTAATTCATAAAAATACCTCTGAAATTAATATCAGATTCTTTGACACACATATAGAATTGTTCAAAAAAAAAAAACACACATATAGAAAATCCCTTTTCTTTTTGTACTAATAGAGTTCTTTTAAATGGAAGAAAATTAAAATATTTTAATAATTATAATATTAAGGTTAATAATAAAAAATTTATTCAAATATCCATATAATTTTATAAAAAAATTGAGATTTAAAATATTAAAATATCTT